GAGAATTTCTGTTGCTGTACCTCAGTATCAGCGTTTAGGGTCATTAGTGTCTGGATTTTGTGCATTGAAATGAGTGTATAGGGGTAACTTGTTTTAAGTTATAATTCCATCATAACAGAGTGTTTGGCACATTGTCATATATTTATTTGTCATCAATATAAAACTCTTCTTAGTGAGATGGCTTTTATTCTTCAACTGGGTTGTTCATTTCCTTCTTTTGAAGTTTAAGGATTTTATGTATTTTAGATATTGATTCCTTACGATGTATAGCTTTGACACATATTTGCTCTCAGTTTTTTATCACACATTTTAAAATGGTCAATTACTGAAAAAAAATGATGTTCTGATAGAATATAGTCCACTCATGAGTTATGTACATTTCAATTTACTATACTTAAATAAAACATGCTTGGTAATTTGTACTTAATGATACTAACACATATTTCTGGGCTGAATTCACTCCTATTAAGCTTTTAAATTAGCACATGTATGTTTTAATGAAAGAAAACTACAAGACAATAAATACCCCACAGCTCCTCTTCAGAGCTCAAGGCAAAGAGAAGTGTCCTGGCTGAAGACCTGGAGTTTAAATTTGAGAAGTGTGTGTGTGTGTGTGTGTGTGTGTGTGTGTGTAAAATGAGACAGAAATTGAAAGAATGAATTTTCATCCTTGGGAACAGATCAGATCACACACAGAAAGAAAGAACATGAAAAAACAGAGAGCTGGGGACGGACTTTAGTGTTAGTGAGTCTGTCCAAAGAGGAAGAACCAGCAAAGGATGTGTGGAAGAAATGCTAGTGGATGTGAAATTAAAGGACACTCATCTAAATAACCAAGAGACTCAAGAAGATTATAGCTCACAGGGCCAGTGACTATGGAGGATGGGCAGGATGAAGCAAAATGAAAACACAGATTTAGAGTTAAGTAGATGCTGCTATTTGGCAATCTCCGCGAGATCTATTTGAGTGGCAGAAGAGAGTCTGATTTGCATGCATTGTGAAGTAAATGGGAGGCAGGAAACTGGAGACAATGAATGCGATTTTTTTGAAGATTCTTATTGTACAGATAAATGAAGTAGAGGCTGGAGGAAGGTGTGAGTCTAAACAGATATGACTTTTAGAGGGACATTACTGACACAAGGCCCTATGTGGAAGAGAATGATTCTCATTTCATTCTTCACTTGATAGCAGTGTCCACTTTAACCTTCTGAAATATTTTCATCCTTAACTTCTATGATGCAACACTTAGCCTCCTTATCTCTGCAGGATCCTTTTTCTCTGCCTTACTGTCAACTCATCTACTTGAGATGGCTCCATATATAATTGAGCAGTTTATAGCAACCACCATGTGAATGTTACTCTCATTGTGGGACGTAGCCACCCACCATAACGCTGTTTGCTGACTTTAATTACCAGCCTCGTAACAAAATTGTTATTTGAAGTCCATAAAAACAACTTTATGTGTTGGTGTTGAGGCTTAAAGGTAAGTTATAGAAGCATGATGAACCAAAACTTGAGGTCCCAACAGCAGTAATTTTATGGATTTTATCGAGGTGTCCCCCTACAGCTTTTGGCACTCACAGGTTGGAGTGATTGGGTGGTGACTTGATTATGAGTGTGTGATACTCATCACTGGATTAGTCCACTGATGAGTTTACAGATAAATATGATGTTGGGAGGTAAAGCCTGGTAGGAAAAAGTGAGTCACGTATATTTCTCTACTCCTCCTTTATTCTTGCTGCGCTTCCCATCTGCCATGCTATGAGCCCTTTGCCCAGTGTTATGTCCCTCTGCCATGCCCTGCCTTGGAGCCACTCAGCTGTGGACTGAAACCTCTACTAACTATGAGCCAAAATAAGCATTTCTTCTTTTGAGTTGTATGTGTTGGACATTGTGGCTTCATGATGAGAAAATAACAAAAACAAGAGATATATACACAAAGACTAAACTGATCTTGAGAGTCAGTTGGAAATGTTCAATGTCTGAAAAATTTCTACCTCGAACCAAAACATTATTAAAAAACAAAAGAAAAAGAAAAACACTTCTTTCCTCATTTAGCAAATTGTCAAATCACTAAACTGAAGTATAATCATCAATTTCTCATTAAGAGAGTTACCAAGTTGAAGAGAAAGCACTGCAGATCACTAACCAGACCTACCCATTCAGAACATATGAGCAATAGTTAAAAGCTACGTGTAAGTCGGGTTTGATGGTACTCCTATAATGCCAGCACTTTGGGAGGCTGAGGCAGGAGTATCACAAGTTCGAGCTCAGTCTGGTCAACTTAGTGACTTAGCAAGACCTTATCTCAAAAGAAAAAAATAAAAAGGGACGAGGGTATACCTTAGTGTTAAGGTCCTGTGTTCAATCACCAGTATCAAAAGGAAAATAAAAAGGCTTCATATATTGGATGTTAAAGGAAGACTCTAAGTAAATTAACTATGACGATTAAATATGATACTCAAAATAGAATTTTATTTCTAAAGCTATCTAATTCTATTTATTTGTTTATTTTTACTGTACTGGAAATTGAACCAGGGTCTTGTATATGCTTGATAAATCACTACTCCTAGTCTACATTCCCATCCCTCTTTTTAATACTGGAAACTGAAAGCAACTCAAAATGTCTATTAAATGAATATGGAGTGTATAGTATGTATTTCCATTAAATGTTACTGAGTAGTAGTAATAAGCTGTTGATGAACTTTGTAGATGGGTCAATCTCAAAATAATTATGAGTAAAGAAACCAGACTCCCCTCCAAAAAAAAAAAATCTCTTATACTCCATGATTATATTTATTTGAAATTCTCAAAAATGTAAACCACAGTGACATGAAACAGACCCAGGGTTGCCTGTGGAGAGAGAGGAAGGACAGAAGGAAGGGATTACCAAGAGGCATGAGAAAACTTTTAGACACAGAGATGTTCATTGTCTTGTTTGTGATCGTGATCTCATTGATATAAACATATGTTAAAATTTATCCAATTGTACACTGTAAGTATATGCACATTTATGCCAATTATAACTCAGTAAAGCTACAGAAAAATAAAGCTTGGTTCCTGTATGTCTGAAAATGATTTATGTAAGCTTTGATCTGACATTAAAAAGTAAAAGCAATGCAAGGGGAAACATTTTTCAGGACAGCAGTGAAAATGTCATTAGGCTCTTACAAGATTCATAACATTAAATGCTATTTTAAAAATATGAACTAATACTTTTACATCTTGGTTGCATTTATAAATCTATAAGGGAAAACATACTCTGTGCTTTCTCATTACCAAAACCAACAAAACTACTTAATTTACTTCATCTCTGTGCACTAATTAGGGTTCAGCAGTTCATTACCTCCACATATGAAACAAAAAATTCATTCAACGTTCATCTTTGATAACATTTATGAACAGTGTCCTTGTGTGACTCTGGCTGTATCAACTGGTTTGTCTGTAATTAAAGTTCATGCTGCATTCTCTGCAGATTGTAAACACTGTCTTACAAACCATTATCTTAGTCTTATAAACATTTACTAAGAGATTGGTAACTCTAGTTATTTTCTCTCTCTCTCTCTCTCTCTTTCTCTCTCTCTCTCTCTCACTCCTTTCATAGCTGTACCTATAAAGACATCATCAGTTCTTCCCAACTGACTCTGAGGGACTTAATGAACTTACACATTTTACTTAACCAAAACAATGACAAGAGGACCAACTTGTTATAGTACTTGGAGATCACTGGGTAGACGCACTATGTGTGATCTATCATCTCAGGGATTTAAACTGCTCTTGAGCAAACATGCTTTGTAAATTAAGACCTGGAAGGCACCCAGGGAGTGGCTGAGGTCTGCATTTATTGCTGAACTTTAGCACTATACACTTCACTGGTGTTCTGGGGCTAGTTAACTGGGTGGAGAAGAGCGTGTCTCAGTAGAATAATTTAGTAGCATTAGCATGACGTTTGGTACTGGTACCATAGCAATAAGGATTACTATTTCTTGACTCAGAGAAATTACCAATTTAAAAAGAAGTGTTAAATCATGTTATTCTAAGAAGTTAAAAAGTGAAATATAAAAATGACTCTAGTGAAATTTGTTGAGTCTTGACAAACGTCAGAAGTAAACTTGATAGTAAAAGTTACACGGTAAAATAAGATTTTCTTCTTGTTGTTTTGTTTCTTGTCAGAGGGTTGGGCTAGACCAGGAGTTAGGGAAGAAGAAAAGATATTATATATTGTGTAATACTGATTTTTTTACAGACCATGTATTTAACCAGTTATGTGATGTTTACATAGGAAATTTAAAGTTTAAAGGTTCTATAATTGGTTAAATTCTGTTGTTGAATATATAATTGTGAAAGGCAATAAAGTAGGATCATAAACTTTTATTTCCCGTCTTCTTTCCCTAAGATATAAAGCAAAAATATCTAGGTGTCTACTACAAATCTAAATCTAAAAAGTTAATTTTTAATTTTACTAAACTGTAAGAGGCATCACATCAGACAGATTGGTAGCAGGAAATAACATATACCAAAAATTTATACCAAAAATTAATAATTGTCAAGTCTCTCTTAAATGATTCAGATTTCTTCAGCCATTGAGAAACCTTTAAACATGTGAGGTACATACTTTTTAAAGTCCTGACTTAAAAATTAAAAGTAGATGGTTATTTACTGGCTTCAAAGATGATTCTCTTTCTGCTTTACGTAACATTTATCTCCCTTGATCTCCCACAATGCTAAGGAAGACAAAAAGTTTACTTATGACTCTAGACTGACCCTAAATAGAATTTACATACCATAAATTCTAGGCCACATAGATCATGGGGTGAAAACCAGGCTAAGACTGTTGAGTTTTACGAAATTGTTTGTTTTTATTTTTATGTAATTTCCAGGTTAATCTTAAATTAAAATATTTTTATGACCACAAAATATGTGTTTGCCTAGTCATCACTGGGCATAGTCTAGTTATTTCCTAAAACCAAACTGTTTACATTTTTGTTTGTTTGTTTCAGGATTGATGCCTGTTGCACAACAGCCTGTTTATTGCGCTTCAAAGCACGGCATAATTGGATTCACACGTTCAGCAGCGGTGAGGACACAGAAACAACAAAAGCTCTCTCGGTCTTTTGTATGCATATGTGAAACAAAAACTGCACAGAGGAGGGTGAACTCAGAATGAGAAACATCTAAAGATAAAAATGGTGTTTTGCTTCACTCTTTATGAAACAGTTTTCTGATCACACAAAAGAATAACACATCATTGTGAAAGAGTCGATTCTAAGCATAGATGTGTTTCTAAAACTATCTTCAGGACAAGTAATGAGAAAGTTGACTCCAAATTAAAATATGGTTAACATGAGGCTTCCATAGACGGAATGTGCAGCAGACTGTCCTTGCAAATGTGTGCAAGCGTGGGGCTGGAGGGAAGAATGAGAGCACTAGTTACTTGATAGAGTAGCAAGGATCACGTTTCCATGGAGACTGGGGGTGAAAGTACACAGAGCTTAGTTCTCAGGCCTCATTTGATGATAGCATCAGGTAAGAGTTGTTGGCTCTTTATCTGACAAAAGGGTAACTTAGCACTAAGTTGGGTGAGATCTAGAGATGTAAGCTGCATAGACCAAAAAGGAATTATGGGCCAAGGGTGTGAGCTTGGATTTTATTCTAAGTGCAGCTGTTGGTGGATATTTTGTGCATAAGAGCGACAGTAGCAGATTTCCATTTTAAGAAAACAAATTTTGCCAGGCACAGTAGAACACCTCCATAATCCCAGCCACTCTAGGAGGCTGAAGCAGGAAGATGGCAAGTTTGAGCTTGCTCCAAACAACTAAGGAAGACTCTGTCTTGAAATATAAAATTTAAAAAGAATTTAATTTAGTATAACTCAGTGCAAAGACCTTGGATTTATCCACCAGTGTCACAGAAAAGGAAAATGAGAAGAAAAGGAAGGAAAAACGTACCATGCTGCCTACTTTGAAAATGTATCACAAACGACAAATATGGAGGTGTTAAGGAGTTTCTGAGAGGGGCTTGTCTCACCTAAGTGAGCAAATGGGGAGCCAGAGAGATTAAAAAGAAAGACTTAATGACAGGAGAAATGCAAGGGAGAGAATCAAACAACTGTGTGAATATTAATTATTCAATCAGAAAGAAAGAGAAGTAATTCTCATGCCCTTAAATTACTTAGAAATTATTAATTTGCCAACAATTTTTCATTAGTACGTGTTCACAGTATGTAATGACTCCATTTATAATGGAGAGTTCGAATCTGCTCATAACACATCTCCATTTTTCGTTTTCTGTCTTCCCTTTCCACCCATCCCTGCTCTCTCCAGTTCTTCTTCTCCTTTCCATTTGCCAAGGATCTATTTGAACTTTTCCTTCAACTCTTCTTGTTTAAATTCATTTTTGCTTCTTTCCCTCCCCCTCCCTCCATCTAATGTTCCACTTCCCGTTTGACAAAGCTCTCTCTACTTCCTGTTATCCTTTATCTTGCTTTTTATTTATACTTTGGATTTATTATATAAAAGAATGATATATTTAAATGTGTGTATCTAGTTTATTTCACTTAACCTTATGATCTTGAGGAACATTCATTTATCTACACATGCCTGAAATTTACCATTCTTTATGGCAGAGTAGTACTCCATTGTATATGAATTCCACATTTCCGTATCCACTCATCTGTTTAGGGGCATAGGGGCTAATTTCAAGATTTAGCTATGATAAATTGTGCTACTAAACGCATGAGAATGCATGTACCACTGCAATATCGCCAAAGCAATCTGACTAAATTTCTTGTGAACACATAAAGCTATTACAAAGTAAAATAAATCCTAGAGATCAGAAATTTTGCATTTAAAATTACAAGACTGGAAATGTCAGTAGTCAGTTTTCTTTATTGAGAGTAGTTATGTTCTGTCAGTTTGCTTGCAAACACTGATTTAGTGACTGCTGAATCATTCTTTCTAGGGGAAATATAGGGTACAATTTCCAAAAATCTGTAATCACTGAATTTTGATTAACCACTGAGTCCGTCACCTTACTTTGTGTGTGTGTGTGTGTGTGTGTGTGTGTGTGTGTGTGTGTGTGTGGTGTGAGTGCTGAAAACTTGCTAATAATACTTACGCCTGACTGAAGCTTATCTAACAAATACTATCTTAAGCACATCACAACTATTCAGGAACACTGCAAAGCACTTCTGTTTTGCACAAGAAAACCACATAAAGCACGAAAATGAGAAAAAATGGCAAGGCAGACTAGATCCCTCAGGAGGAACACTCATATCTGTGACTCAGAACTGCTCTGCACAGGACTACAAATGATCGTGAAGTTACCACAAATATTGATTTCTGCAGTTACAAATAAATTTTAGGAAATAATCCAATGTGATTTCATAGGCTCTGATAATGTGTATAGTAAGTATCAACTGTATTTGTTTTAAATTAGTTCAAATAAAATTAATAGGCTGAAAATGAGTGCAATTAAGAGTAGTCTGAAAATAATTAAATTTTCTTCCAGATAATGCAGATTATTAAGAATATATAGAACCCTAAAAATTTCCATTAATGTGTTTTCAAAAAAATATCCTTTTATGCACACATATTCTTGAAAGAAAACTCAGAATATCAGTTCTAGACCTCTGCTACTTAGCTTCATGTTCCTGAAGAGTTCAGAAGGTAAATGCAGGTTAGATAATTAAGTATTTTCAGGAGTTTTCCAGTGCTATTTCTACTTAAGAAATTGATGAAGTGAGACTTTCAGGAATTAATTCAGTACTTTAGGTATGTATTCTTTACTGTATTTCTGCTTGCCAGTATTGTTACATAGTTAAGAGGCTGTTTGAGTAATATTTTTATATTAGTCTTCTAAATAACTTTAATTTGTTTACAAAAGTTCTGAAACCTGCACCCTACCTCTTCTGATTTGCAGATGGCTGCTAAGCTCATGAACAGTGGAGTGAGGATGAATGCCATTTGTCCGGGCTTTGTCAACACCTCCATTCTTCAGTCCATTGAGAAAGAAGAAAACATGGGGCCGTACATAGAATACACAGGTCACATCAAGGATATGATGAAGTGCTATGGGATTCTGGAGTACGTAAAACTGCACTCTCATTTTTCATTAATGGAGTAAAGTACTATCTAGACAAGCAACACCAGAGGGTAAAAACAAGTTTTTAGATATGTCACCAATGCAAACTTCAAAATCTGCTATAATAAATTGTCTGAAAGATAAAAATTTTCTGAGCTAGGGAATGGAATATGTTTATACATTATAAATTTTATTTTCAGTACAGATAACATCTTTGTGCATAAAATTTTTTCTGAAAAACAAATTTAATCACTTTTGAGAAAATTATAATTTTCTGCCTAAATTCCAAGCAATATTCATGTAGGATTTCTGACATTTTGTAAAGTCCCATAATTTCTACTATTTTCATAGAATGATGGGCTGTACAAATGCACATAAACACACACAGACATCATGGGTGACTTGGATCTGAGGGTAGTTGAGACTTTCACAACACAATCATAGCACTTATGTCAAATGAATCAGGTCTGGGACCAAGTCTGTCCTCTAGTACTGACTTTGGAACATGGACTTTTTAAAGTCTCATATTCAAAAGACTTTTTAAAAAGATGATACATGAAGTGTACCTAAATAGCAACTGGTGAAAAATAAGATTTTCAGTAAACACTATCAGTGATACTTATTTCTTTTCCAATAATAATTTTGATAACCCTAATTCCTATTTATTTGATAAAGATGAAAAAATAATTATTTTCTCAGTGAAAATAATAACTATAAATACTTCCTTTCAAAATGATAAAAGATCAGGCATGGAAATATAGCACTGTATCATGTAATTTAGGTTGTTGCTGAATAAAAAATTGAAGGTTAAAAATAGCTCAGTGATAAATAATTTTCTATGACATGTTCAAGGCTGCAGATTCTTCAGACAATAATTGGAAATGATAAAATGCCTCATTATTTATTTTCAAAATTCCAATGTTTCTTTCATTTATAGCCCAGAAATGATTGCCAACGGGTTAATAACACTCATTGAAGATGATGATTTGAATGGTGCTATCATGAAGATCACAACTTCTAAAGGAATTCATTTCCAAGACTATGATACAGCTCCATCTTATGCCAAAGATTAATGAACATCTTATTTACCAGAACTCACTGAAAACAAATACACATGACATATTCAAATCATATTTTTAAATACAGCTTTTTAAATGAAATGTTACAGCCTAAAGCTTTCCTTCATACAACTGATGTTATTCTTTTGTAAGTGATTAGATAAATCTATGGATAAAAATTTAGGATAAACTATCAAAAGTATAAACAAAGCAATATTATTGTAATGTGTATGAACTAATCAGTGATTAAAACAAGACATTTACAGAATATTCCAGCTTTCATAAAGTATATTTAAATCTGTGATTCATGAATATTAACGTCTTTTAGAAATCATTTTAAAGAAAATACTTGAATTATAATTTAAATCAAAGCAATGTAAAAAAGAACTTTGTTTCTACCTTTGCACTTCAAAAGAGGGAAGCTACTGAACATTTACAAATGTTTAGGAGTAATAATCTTTACTTTTATGTAATCTTTAAGCTGAACTCTGTAAAGATGTAACATAGTTTAGGGTTAGAAATTAAGAAATAGGGGCTGGGGATTTAGCTCAGCGGCGTAAGCACCTGCCTTGCAAGCAGGCAGTCGTGAGTTCGATCCCTGGTACCGATAAAAAAAGGAAAAAGACAAAAAAAAAAAAAAAAAAAAAAAAGAAATTAAGAAATAAATTACAGTGTGACAATATCCCAAGTGAAAAATCTGATGCATGGAAAATGACAGATAGTAACTGACTGAGATTGTTAATTCCAAGTCCAGTCTCAAATCATGGAAGAACATTTTTTTCTATTTGTTTTTTATTTTAAGAATTTTATCTCCAAAAATCTCAGGAATGAAGCTTTTAACAGTTATAGAAGAAAAAAAGAGGATTGTTAGTCCTCCTAACATTTTATATGTAATATATGACAAAGAAAAAGTACAAATGTAATAGTTTTCTTTGGTTGACAGTATTTTTGTTTTATGAGTGTATATTAGTTATGCAGAATATGTGCTTTGTTTTATCATATTTGTACATGCATATTACGCACTTTGATTATTTTCACCCCCATTACCCGCCTTTCCCTCTCCCTCTCCCCAGTCTGTTAACTCTTCTCCTGTCTGCTTCCTATTTTCTCTCATCTCTCTCTCTTTCTTTTTAAGATATGAGAGAAAGATATATGATATTTGACTTTTTGAGTCTGGTTTATTTTGCTGAACATGGTTTTATTTTCAGATATTTTCTATGTTGATTTGTACTGATTTCAAAAATACTATATTTCAATAAAACCCTTTTATTCTAATCTCCATAATTTACTTAGTCTTTTATATGTTGCTGTTGAGATGAAACTGATTTTTCCACACCCACAACTGAAGGCGTTTTCTTGTATATACTAAGGTTCATAATAATACCGAAATATAATAGCTGTGACAGTCTGTCTTTTTTGCTATTATGAATCTATCTTAATAAAAGATTCATTAAATGCACTTGTTTGGGGTAGTATGTGCCAAAGATTTCCAAATCAATCATTTCCTCAAAGAAATATTGTGGAAGTGGCTCATTCTGCTTGATAGATCCAGACTTTCTAGATTAGAGCAAAACCCATCCATGTGAAATTAATAAGAATTTCCATGAGATCTTGGAATATTATACCTCTCTCCATTTTAATTCTGCTATAGAGAACTGCTGGCTTCACTTTTAGGAAGTACTTTGAACATGAATAACTAATTGAGAGTTTCATACAATGTACTTAACATACACAAAGAAATATCTCTGAACATTTTATGAAGGTAAATTATAATTGGGCACAATACTTTTGTATGTTCTAGAAGTGACCAATCAATGAATGATATGGGTCAATTCAACCAGCTGTGTGGCAAGCACAGGGAGTGGAGTTAGCATTGCACAATCTGTTGTTGCCTAGTCATGCTGGAGCGCCACGTAATTGAATCATGCAAAAATCACTAGAAATTACATGACCATGTTAAAAGTTTACAGTTTCACAGGGCTGCATTATTAACCGCCTAGGATTGCAGGTGGCACATGGACCATGGATTGGGTAACCCTGGCAGTATACTGTGCTGTTAAACTATTTATCCCATAAATTGTACTCAGTATTTCCAACTGAGCATAAGTTTATCAGGCGTAACCTCACTGTAGATACAGGAGTACTTCTAGTTGCACAAGTGATTACAATGCCCATCAGGTCACCTTCACCTCTTAATCACCCTCCGTTCATTTCTCATTGCAAGTAACACATGATCAACCTCCTTGGCCTGGCCTTACCTGATTTCACTGCTCTGCTTTCTAATTTCAATGTAATCTCATAGCTTCTTAAAACCTTGAGTACACTCAACATCGTCCCCCATTGGGGCCTTTCTATGGACTCTTTCCTCTGTCTGGCTGGCTCTCTTTGCATGTACTGTCAGGATTATGTTGGCTCTAACAATTTCCTTGATTTGGTTTCCCATTTCCACCACTTGGAGTCAACCACTTAGCTTTTCTAGATAATCATACCACCATTATTTTGTTTTTACCTTTAGAGGCTTGATTCTTTTATTTTTCTCTTTTGCTTTATTTTCTACTTGATTATAGTTTTTCTACTATACTATAGCATAATGGAAGTTCTTCAAGCTTTGTTTCTGCTCTCCATATATAAAACAGTACATGAGACTTGCTGTATATTAAATAAATATGACTGAATGAAATGTCTGTTAAGTAGCTAAATGATTCTACAGTGTCTTAAAAGAAATGTAAATGTTTAAAATCTCAGAAGTCTGTATGTTATTTCTTTATATCAATCAGGTGACTTCTGGGAAGTCAGATTTGAGTCTCATAATAAGAAGCCTATGTTAATCTGTAAGTACAAAGGGAAAAACACAAAATTCCAAACATTTGGAATTATCATAGGAATGATGGAATAGAGATGTCTCCTAGGTACAGAACTATGAACAAGTGAAAATGAAAGAAATACAATATAAGATAGCATCAGAATTAGAATGTCCCAAATGGAAATCCATTTGTCCTAGATACAGAAAATTCTTTGATCATTGAGATAATTAAGGATGTCATCAAGACACTAGGTTCTTATGCACAACATTTCTGTGTAAACAAAAAGTAGACTTTGAAAGCTCTTGACATTGCATATTCCCTGTTTAGTTTATATGAAGTACCTGCCACTCCTGGTAATATTTTCCTCAATCATAAGGTGCCATTCTGTTTCTTTTATATGTTTGCTTTCCCTCATTATCAGATGTCTGTTGTCTCCAGCCTGAAGTGTGCTGGTAGGTATGCCTGCAGAACGGTGTGCACCCTCCTGTGTTAACTTGTCCTGTCGTGTGTTTTGGCCACCTGGATACTTACCTTCAGCCTCCACCTAGAAACTTTTAAAATGAGTCACAATGGTCACCATAATGCTAGACAAATCCAATGTTCATTTTACGCAGATTTTGTGGCAAAGAGCTTATAAAATGTGGGTAGATTAGCGCTCCATTCTTTTCATCTACAGACGTATAGGTAGGTGTTTAATTGCATCTTCAGTGTCACTGAGTGACATTGATATATTCAGAGTTTTTATATCTTCTTGTTCAGCCTTGTTAATTTGTTAATGTATCTAGGAATCTGTCCATTTCTTCTGCATTTTCCATCTTATTAGAATACAGTTTCTCAAAGTAGATATAGATGATCTTCTGAATTTCTGCAGCATCCATTGTGATCACTGTTTCATTTCTAACTGCATAAATTTGAGTCTTTTCTTATCTTTTTTTTTATAAGATGGGATAAGGGGTTTTGTTGATTTTATTTAATCTTTAAAAAAAACCAACTCTTCTATTAATTGCTTCTTTGTATTTTTACTTATATATGTTAATGTATTTTGATTTTCCTTATAATAGCTCTCAGACTCTCCCCATTTGTCCTAATCTGATATCTGTAAATATTTCTGTTGTTATAATTTACCTATCACATACCTCTAACCCCATCATTCCTAAAATCTAAACCTCTGTCTTCTATTCCCAGATACATGAAGCTCTGACCTCCCACCAAACATGCCAGGAGTGTCACAATCAGACCATAATTTACCATCCTGGCTTTATCTGGACAACTCCTTGTCAAATCACAAACTTCCCCAATGCCCTTTGAGTTTCTTTAATCTTTCCTCCTCATCTGTAAAATTTCTCCATATTGAAGGGGCTATGAGAGAGTGCAGGGAGATGGTTAGGATGGAATTCCTTGAAGAGAAAATTAAAATCAGAGGATGTGTGTGGCTGGGGGGTCGTGGAATTTCTAAGGAAAAGATACAAGAATGAGAATGGGATAAATCTCAGAGAAATATGTTTTTCCTATTAAGTCTTGTATACAAGCATAAGGAATAGATTTTGGAATTTAATTTTCTGCAGACAGATGTTTGTAATCACTGTTGATTCAGATTCAATTGAACAATGAATAAGTTTTTCATATTATAATCATAGCATTTAAGACAGAGCCTTTTCATGGTTCCCAGTGCCACATGGATACATAGCAGTGCTCATTACTGAACCATGTAGTAATGAGGGCTTGTCAATGATAATTCACGTATTCCCTTTGTGTCACGGTACTTTGTCCCTTGGCAATTCTTTCTTCTCATGGTCTGCAGCATCACGTGTTAGGCCCCAGGGTTACTGGTCTGCTCCTTTACTGTAGTACTATTTCATACACAGTAAAATTGCAGCAGTCATTTATCTCTGCTTCCCATTAATTTCATTTTTCTTACTATAAGTTGCAAATAGTAACTAATGTTTTACTCCAAGCAATCCCAGTTTTTGTCCTTGCTGTAAAATATTTAAAAAACAATTTTAAAAGACAAACAGAATGACACTATTTTGAAAGATTTTCATGCACACACCCATGCAAGAGAACACAAATTAATGAGTAGAAGTGGAAGTGTCTGATGAAACATACTCTTCTCTTTTAAAGATTGCTCGTATTTCAAGAGATTTTTAAGGCTAATAATGATTTATCCTTTTCCATGTACATACTTTTGGCTCCTTGTATTTTATAACCCAAGGAGTCACCTCAACAGGAAATGTCAGCCATCAAATGCTTTGCTATTGGCATTTTCTCCTTCTACATGTAAACAAATGAATTCTGCTTTAAACTCTTTTGTTTAATTACATTCAATCATTTCAGTTGATCTGTAGCAATTTTTATTCAACATTTTAACATGCATATAAAAACCAAAGAGTGAACTATTGTTTGGGTTTTCTTTATTCCACTAAAAGAAGAGGAAAACTTAGTTTATTTTAGGGCTGTACTATGTCTAGCACAGTACTAAATATAAGAGAAATTTGTGAGAAAAGTTAATCTTCAATTTCTTGGATAAAACCTCTATAAGTGAATATTTAAATTTAATTTGGAATACTGAGAATTCCAAGAAAATCAAAGCTCTGGGTTTCACTTTATATATACTTATTAAATGTCCACTAAAGCCAAAGCATAGTGCCAGGCACCAGTACACCATAAAAGAGTAAGCCATGTGCCTTCAGGAAGTTCACAATTGTGATTAGGGAATAAACATGCAAGAAAAGAAAAACATATTCCATGCTATAAATATTTCAGTTAATTTACTTATTTATTTATTTATTTATTTATTTATTTATTTATTTGTCTTTTTCCTTTTTATGGGTACCAGGGATCAAACTCACAACTGCCTGCTTTACAAGGCAGGCACTTAGGCCCCTGAGCTAAATCCCCAGCCCCAGATTTCAGTTAATTTATGTACAAAATTAATGGGCAAATTATAATTTTAACTGTTTGAATGGATGAGAAAAGTAAAAGTCTTCATAAATGTCTTACTTTTCTCTTGTTGCTGAGACAAAGTACTGACACCCACAATTAACAGAAGAACGGTTTATAGGGCTCACAGTTTATAGAGGTTTAAATCCATAATTAACTGGCTCCAGGGTAGGGTGGGGTAGTTTTACAGAAGGAAACAGTTCATGTCAGGCAGAAGACAACAAAATTAACCACTGCTCTTAATAGGGTCTGTCTGAATCTTTCATATGCTATCATGCTGCTGAGATTAAGGTGGTGTGAAACCAATCAGTGAGCTGATCTCATACCCTTAATCCCACCATCACACACTCTAAATTCAACAACCTTTGAAAAAGCCATATGGCCACATGAGGCTTCGGGGATAACTAAACCCAAACCATAACAATAGAATAAGAGGTACTTGTAATCTCAGCACTCTAGGAGGCTGAAGCAGAAAGATTTTAAGTTTGAGTCTGGCTTGGGAAGCATATAAATGTAGCAAGACCTTATCTCAAAATTAAA